GCTGTTTGAACAAAGACAGATTCACTTATGCCTTTCTCCCGCCCACCCCCCCAACCCTACAGAAAACCAAAACCCAAACAAACCACCACCACCACCAACAACAACTTTGATATCCAGGAAGGGGTAAACTTAAGTAAAGAAACCCCTTCCCTGGTCCAGGTTTCTGTCTTCAGTTGTGCTTCTACTGATGGACACAAGGGGGCAGTCTTGCCTTGCATTTGACTGCTCCCATGACCATCTGCCCCCCTAGGTCTCCCAGGCCCAGTCCTTGGATCTCTGTTCTGTATGTGTTCATTTCATGGTTTCATCCAGTCTCAGGGCATTAAATACCACCTATGCTTGGCTGCCTCCCAAATGTATATGCTAGCCTGGATCTGACTTCTCAACCCCAGATTCATATTATCAAGTTGCTTACTCAACAGCTTCTTTTGTGGTCTGAGGGGCATTTCAAACTTCACATTTTCGAAGCCAAGCACTTCCTTCTGTAGACTTTGCCCAACTCGATCAATGGCAACCGCATCCCTTTATTTAGGCCCAGTGCTGTGGTGGCCTTGATTCTTCCTGCTTGCCATGGCCCACCCTATCCACAAATTCTTTTGGTTTTACCATGAAGGTATTTTTGTATTCCCACCAATCCTCCGCATCTCTGCAGCTCCCACTCTGGCGCAGCCCTCCATCATCTCTTGCCTGCATTATTGTGGGAATGTCCCATCTCTTGCCATTGGCTCTCAACCCAGCAGGCAGAGTGATTCTGTTGAAACATGTTACTTCTCTGCTCAGAACCTTTCAAAGCCTTCACATCTCTCTCAGAGAGCAAAAGCCAAAGTCCTTCTAGTGGCCTTTGAGGTCCTACCTTATGTGGCTCTTTGTTCCCTCTCCTGTCTCCCTCCCTCTCGTCCTCCCTCCCCACCCGCCACCACCTTGCCACTCCACTGTTCCTCCCATGTGTCACATAAGTGCCAGCCTCAGCCTTTGCACTTAACTCATTTCTGCCTAGATTAATCTGCCCCCAGATGTATGCTTGGTACTCCTTCATCTCGTTCAGGTCTCCACTCCAGTATTGCCTCAGTGAGGCCTTCCCTGATCACCCTTCCACTGGGTAGCTGGGATTTGGGCCCATTTTGTTCTCTGCCCTGTCCCCATCACTTAGAACAGAGCCTGCCCATTCTAGAGGCTTAATAACCGTTGATGAATTGAATGGATCAGCAAGGGAATGACTATATGCGCAAGACCAGCTCCTCAGCTGGGGCTTGAATGAAGGTTTCGTTACCTAGAACTTGATTTCTTCTTCCTCCTTTCAGGCCAGAGCCCGGGAGGGCTGGCTCGTAGCTGGCACAGTGGGCTGCCTGGGGCCTGAGATTTCCTCGTTCTCTGAGATCCCTGTCACTAGCTGCTTGGAGTTCCTCTGGGACCGGCCTACTGTCCTAGTGCTGGGTAGGTAGATGTCCCCACTTTTCCTTGTTCAGATGTGCATGTCCAGAGTGCCCATGTGTCCAACTGGGGCATCCTTAATCCTCTGCCTCTATGCCCTGCAGGTAATGAGGGCTCTGGTCTGTCCAAGGAGGTACAGGCCTCCTGCCAGCTTCTCCTTACAATCCTGCCTGGCCGGCAGCTGCCCTCTGGACTTGACTCCTTGAATGTCTCCGTGGCTGCAGGTGAGTCTACTGTTGCCTGACTTCTTGCCCTCTGACCACACATGTTTTTACCCTCAACAATTTTCCCTGTCTTTCTGTGCCTCAGTCCCTTTATGTGCCAGATGGGGAAAATGCATCTTTTTTAAAAAAATTTTTTTATGTTTGTCTTTGAGACAGAGACAGAATGTCAGCAGGGGAGGGGCAGAGAGAGAGGAAGACACAGAATCTGAAGCAGGCTCCAGGCTGTCAGCTTAGAGCCTGATGTGGGGCTTGAACTCATGAGACATGAGATCATGACCTGAGTTGAAGTCAGATGCTCAACCGACTGAGCCACCCAGGTGCCCCAAATGCATCCTTTGAGGATGAGAAGAGGGAGTGCTGACACGTGGTCCTTCCTCTTCTCCATCCTCTCTCTTCCCCTTTTGTCCTTTTGTCTGTCGGTGCAGGAATTCTTCTTCACTCCATTTGCAGCCAGAGGAAGGGTTTCTCTGCAGAGAAGAGAGAGCAACTTCTCTAAGACCCGCAAGGAACCTCAGCCACATCAGCAGGGCCCAGAGTGGCTCAGCACCCAGGACTGTCCTCAGAACCAGAACAAGAGAGGCATAATGGGGGCTGACTTGGACTGTCTGAGGTGTGTGTGCTAGAGGGCACACACACACACATGATCGAATATACTGGAGTCTCTTGCCTGAGAGTGCACCCAGGCCCCTGTTTACTAGGCACTGTCTTGTAGGGCAGGAAGCTCTGCGATGGAGACCAAAGGAAAGTTCAGTTTCCTGTTTTGATTTTGGACTTGCGGTTGGAAGTGGCAGCTTGTTAGTCTCCAAGATTGTGCTGGGATAGAGGGTCTCTTTCCTCCTAGGCCCTGCCTGGAAGTCAAGACATACAAAGGGAATTGGGCAGCCTAGTCCAGGTGTCCTATTCCTCTTGAACCAGTGTGAGAATGTAGAGGAAGGCCTCGTTCCTCTTGTGGACTAGACGGGTACAAATCCAGCCTCCAACCCTGCCTGCCCCAGTGGGGGCCTTGAGCACGAGGCTTCATCCTGCTGTCCCTCACAGGGCTCTTTGTGAGGATCCAGTAAAATGTCACCTGGGCCATTCTGTCCCATTCTTCCACTAGATGGCAGCCTTGCTCTTTGATCTGTAGTCTCTTCTGGAAGTTTTTGCAGCCACCTCTGGAGATTCCTGGCTGTGGCCCCCAGAGAGGCAAGGGAAAGATTAGCAAACACCTCTCACCTTACTGGCCTTCCAGACCTCCTCACCAGTGACTCATCAGTCAGTGTGCACCTCTGAGAAAGGAACCAATGAACCAGAGCCCTGGCCTTTGGTTCTGTGGAGTGGTGGGGACAGTGTTGCTGTTTATTGTACGACCCACATGGATTTGGTGCTCCTCCCACAGGGTCCCACAAATGGAGCAGAAGCCCCCGGTATAAGTAGTTTAGAGCAGTCTTGGCTACCCATTGGAACCACCTGGCAATCTTTCAAAAACAACTCACACTGGGGACCCACCCCCAGAGAATCTGATGTAATTGGTCAGGGGGCAACCTGGGTATCAGGAGTTTGAAAGCCCCCCCTCCTGCCCCCAAATGAGTCTAATGTGTAGCCCAGGCTGAGAACCACTGGAATAGGGGCTCCAGGACCTCAGCAGTATTGACATTCTGGGCCAGATAACTCTTTGTTGGATGGCTTGTCCTGTGCCTCATAAGATGTTCAACAACATCCCTGGCTTCTACCCACTGGATGCCAGGAGCACCTCCTGCCCCCCCGTGTGACAACCAAAAATGTCTCCAGACGTTGCCACATGTCCCCTGGAGGACACAATCGCCCTCATTGAGAACCACTGCTCTGGAGTATGGATCCTGGAGGACAGCAACCTAAGTTAAAGTCCTAATTGCTCTGTCACCTTGAACAAGTTCCCTTCCCACCCGAGCCTCAGTCTCCTCATTGGTGAAGGGGGATCACCCTACCTTCCCAAGTTGTGGGAGGATAGAGAGGGCAACATGAGCTCAGTGCCTTCCACACGATAGTGCTCAGTAAGAGGTACCACTCTTTTCTCTTTGGAATGAAATTATCTTGGGATTCCCATTTAAAAAGACATTTGAATTTGTTTTAAAAGGGCCCAAGATTGCACGGGCGCCTTGGTGGCTCGGTTGGTTAAGCATCTGACTCTTTACTTCTGCTCAGGTCATGATCGCATCGTTCGTGAGATTGAGCCCCACGTCAGGCTCTGTGCTGACAATGCGGTGCTTGCTTGGGATTCTCTCTCCCTGTCTTTCTGCCTGTCCCCCCACTTGCTCGCTCCCTCTCAAAATAAATAAATAATAAAATAAAAGGGCCTAAGATTGCTATAAAGTCAAAGTTTTTCCTCTCAAGAAAGAAGAAGAACCTTTTCATAAAACTCCATAGAGATCTCTACCACACTGGTACCCTTGAGCTGTCTGTCCCCAACTGCCACACAGATTCTGACCCTGGCATGTGTCAGCCTTGGGCATATCACACTGCCTCCCCTATCTATGCTGCACTCTTAGCCAAGATCCTAATGTGGTTTTGAACCTTGGCTACACCTTAGGTGGGGTTGGGGGTATGTGTGGTGGTGCAGAGGGGGACAGCTTTAATATTCCAGCTGCCCAGAGGCATCAGAATGATTAGATCAGAATCTCTGCGGCAGGAGCCAGGTCCCATGTTTTTTAGAGCTCCCCGGTTGATGCTAGTATGCTGCCAGATCTGAGAATCACTGGTCTTCAAGCCACCTTCTCATGTCCAAGAAACTGCTTCCAAATCATTCATACCTGCACTTTTGAGTGCATGCCTAAAAGTTTGGGCCAGTCGGCCTTTCATCTGTCCCTAGGTTCAGAAGATGGTGGGTCGAGCCCTGACTCTATTGGCTTCTTACCTGGATGCCTTCTCAGCCTCTTCATCTATAAAATGGGGATAGTGCCTTCAGTACCTGCTCCAGCCAACCCCTCCCCAACAAAGATTTGTAAAAACAAAATGAGAGAGTATCAGGAAAAAGCATTCTGTAAACCTAGGCACTGTGCACCCCAGGACTAGCACATGATAGTACAGACATGGATATAATGGTTCAGTTTATGTATCAAGTTGCCTGGGCCACAGAATGCCCAGATAGTTGGTCAAACCTTATACTCAGTGTTTCTGTGAGGGTGTTTTTGTATGAGATTGACATCTAAATTTGTAGACTGAGTAAGCCAAAGTGCCCTTTCCAGTGTGGGTGGACCTCATCCAATCAGTTGAAGACCTGAATAGAGGGAGGAAAAAAAAAAAAAAAAAAAAAGCTTCTCCCCTAAGAATTCTTCCTGCCTTTTGGAACTGAAACATGGGCTTTTTCTGGTCTCAAGCCTGCTGGCCTTTAGATGGGAACTGCGTCATCAGCTCTCCAAGGTCTCCAGCTTGCTGTTCTCTGCAGAACCTGGACTTGCCAGCCTCATAACCACATGAGCCAAGTTCTCATAATAAATAAGCATTATATGTGTGTATATAGATAAGTATACAGATATATATATATCACCTGTTGGTTCTGTTTCTCTGGAGAATCCCAACTAATAGACTTGATGGAAATGAACTGAGATGTCCTGGTGTTCCCTCCATGTGGCAGTAGAGAATCGAGCTCTGCTCTCTGGGAACAAACCCATCATGGAACCTAGAAGTTGGGGTTTGGGGTACTTGGGGTTCAGAGCCTGCTTTCCTGCCCATGGACTCCTATGTCATGTCTGGAACCTTATCTAACTTGTTTTGGGCATGTTGTTCAGTTTTCTGGGTCCCAGTAGTCCGAGCCATCTAGAGGGCCACTCTTGGTGCTAAAAGCCAGGCACAGGGGCTCCTCTCTGCTTCATCCTGTGGGCAGCAAGCCAGCTGACCTCTGGAAAGGCAGGCTCACTTGAACTAAAAGAGGCCGTAATTACCTGCCATGCACACAGGTATGTAGTTAGGTCATGCAAACCAGGCATTTCCAAAACGAAGCACCTGAGACCCTAAGGCAAAGGATGAGGTCTGAATTTCTTTGTGGTGGCCTGATGCATACAGGCTGCTCAGCAAGTATGGTTAAATACACAGGAGCTGGGGCAGCTGTGGCTGTGGGTATGAAGGCAGAGGCAAGGTGGAGGTCCATCCTCTGCAGGGCAGGGTAAGGATGACCCTGAAGAGCCACATTTAAGAACGTGAGACTGACTGTTAAGTAGCTCTTGCTTTGAGTTCCAATTCTGACTTGCTGGTAGTGTAAATATGGACATATCCCTTAACTTTTCCAACAGCCTCCACTTCAGAGGATCAGAGTGCAGATTAAATGAACTCACTCATGTAAAGCCCTCAGCCCAATCCTGGAGGAGCATGGCAGCTGTTTTTGCAGCACCTGAGCTGCATGGGCTCCGCTGTCCTGCCACCCTGGCCTCAATTTCCCCAGAGACTCTAAGACATATTTCAGCTGCAATACACAAGGAGATGTACTCCTGAGAGCAGCTGAAGGGGGTTGGAAAGGGGAGGGGGTTGGAATGACATTGGCAAGATCCTCCTTTGTCAGGCCTCCCCAGCCAAGAGGGAAAGGGTCTCAGAAGGTTGGTATTCCAGAACAGCTGAATTGTGGCCAGCACCCCAGTCCCTTGCAGGGCTGGAAATTTGTTTGTTTGGTTGGGTTTTGGCAGGAGGGGAAATTGCCAGCTCCTTTCCCCGAGGCTGAGGTCCTAAACTAGACCCTCCCCCATCACTCTTGCAGGGCCAGGCGCCAGGGATCCCCACAGTTTGTAAATGTAATCAACCTTGAGGTCTCCGGCTTCCACAGGTGCAATTAGCATGCCCATCTGCTAATCCCTGATTAATGATGTTTACAAACATGGGACTCCACTCACAGAGTTGCTCAGCCCCTCCCTCTAGGACCTGGAGGCAGGGCTCTTCCTAACACACACCCCTCCGTAAACACACATACTCTTTCAGGGCTGTGCTCCTCTCCCTCCCCTTTCCCAGGCAGGGGGCAGAGCTGGAGTCCCTCCTTGGAGTCACCTGGCCCAACTCTCATTGCACCCATGGAAAGAAGACCCAGAGAGAGCACACAGGGAGACCATGAGGTTTGGTGGTAGGGCTAGGCTCCTGTTCTTCCCTCTTTCTTACCCATTCTGGAACCTCTGGGTACATGGGTGGGCCCGCTGCCTTTATTCACCACACCGGCTCCAGCTCTGGGGCTACACGTACATGTCTCTCTGCATGGAGGGTCCCAAGGGTTGGGATCCTCTACCTGTTCCCAGACAGAGGAACATTCCCACTCCGCCCACCTTCCTGCTGAGGACTCTTGCGGGCCCACGCCAAAAAGCACAGTAGCAAAAATATTAAGAATGCAGACTTCTGAGTCAAGAAGGTCCTGCCTCCAAATGTTGGCTCTACCTCAGGCCAGTCACTTAATCCAATTGAGCCTCAGTTTTGTCACCTATAAAATGGAGATAAGGATAGTAGGTACTACTACTACAAACATAGTTTGTGATGATTCATTACTGGATTTAGGAAATTGACTTGGCATAGTGCACGGGACATAGTAGGTGCTTAATAGTACAAGCTTTTTATTGTAGGGAAGATGATGATGATGATGATGATGATGATGATGATGATGATGAT